TGGTACTACCACATCTGGATTACCCTGTAAGACACACCTTTTTTTTTTTTGAAAGTTAAATGGTATTGGCACTCCTAGGGTACTTCCTAAGGAACGTGATTACTTAGGCTCCAGGGAGGTATAAAATGAACTTTCCAGCCTATATAGTGGTTGGCTTAATTTTGTGTATGATTCTAGTAGAGCAAATGAGTTGTGGAGACTGAAATCTCAGCCAGAGCTAGCACAGGCTCGGCATTTCCATCTGCAGAAAGTTTTAAAGCCAGGTTTCACTCCAAACTGCTAAGTGAAGTGTAACTGTCTACTCTGCAAGAAAAAAAAAGAGTTGTTTATAAATGTTAACTACTTACTTAATTTTATCGCATAACTCTAATTCTTAAATTTCCTGGCACACTCGCTGAAACAGTTTTGCTGCCACTAATACACCAAATATCCAACTAGTAAAATAATGACATGTTATGCTACCATTAAGGGTTGCTTCTGCTTAGTAGTGATTGAAGTGCCTTATCTTCTCAGGTATCAAATTGTGAAATTACAACACAAATGGGAGATATTCTGATTTAATGTGCTTTTTCCAGCTCTCTCAGCAGTAACAGCTGTTCTCAATGAGTTTTAAAAGTACTGTAACAACAATGTTTTGACAATTTCTATTTGTTGGATGAAAACTTGTCAGCACTGGGAATTAACAAAACAACATGCAAAAATAATTAAAAAAAATAAGAAGCCATGGAAAACTAGACCAAAAGAAGCAGAGAAGTTTAGAGTTACATTTTCACACATAAAAAAAAAAGCGGTGTGGTTTCCTTGCAGGAATTTGTTGAAGCTAAACAATTTTATTAGAATCTGTTTATTCATAAAGACATTTTCAGGAGAATAGTTGCAGTCGGAAAAAAGAGCTGAGCACACTCAAGTCAGCAAAGGAAGTTTCCACTAATTTTGATATCCAAAAAATGTTACCCAGTGGCTTTGGAAATACCGTCATGCAGTTTCAGAACAGCTGGGATAGAGTTAAAGTGGAGCAACTCAGGAGCGCAAGAGATCGTGCTCAGTCTCATGCTTCCTGCAGCAGTTATTTGTCTTTAAAAAAAAAACCAAACAACAAAACCCCACCAAATCATGAGAGCTTGATTTCAACAGGTCAAAAAAAAAAAGTTTATGCATTTAAAAAAGGAGATATTAATTTACTCACACGGAAATAGCTATTCAGGTGAGAAATAAAATTTATTTACCTGCCTAAATGAGAAAAATGTGATTATTTGCGTTATTACTAAACTGTCCTGTTTTCCAGCATTCGCTTCGCTTAACCGTTCGCATTTCTTCAGACCTTGGTTTTGTTTCTTTCAGAAAACCTCTACTATTTACTTCTTGTTTGGTTGGTTTTTTTACGAAAAGGAGCAGTGTAAGTCTGTGTGGTTCACTGGGAGTTCACTGGGATATATTTGCAACTTCTGAAGTAAAAAAAAAAATTGTGTTTTATCTTTAGAAGGAGTTACATTTTTTGAATTTATTGAATTTTTCGAAGATCAGCATGAAGAGTTCTGATTAAATGCTTGCTTCAGCATTTTAAAGGCTCCTTGTGTCCCTGTTGCCTAAGGAGGTCGTACATTGCGATTGCTCTGTAAACATCAGATTGTACAGGATTGGCTCTGCGCACTGTGCCGGGCACACAGAGAAGAATTCAAATGGCTTATCTCTCACTTATCAACTAGTTTATTTTTCATGCCCAAAAAACGGCTGTATTTTTACAAGAGCACCTGCTACTTTGTGAATAATTTAAGGGCTTCTGTTAAGTAGAGCTATCCATTTTGCAAATAATATTAAAAGAAGTTTTTTTATTTTACCATGGGATTGCACAACTTTACATGCATTTTTATCCCTGAAAGGCCAGTGGAGGATACTGGAGAATGGTAACAGCTTCTCATTTGCAGATGCAGATCCAAAAGAGAATAGATACGGTAAAATAACGACACGTTTATGAGCAGGGAAGGCATGAGATCTCATCACCTGTGTACAGTGTTCAGAGAAGCACAGGAAAACTTTTAGTGAACTTGTAAGGAAACATATTTGCCTATTTCAGACAGGCACTAGATGTAGCAATAGCAACTATCAGCAAATTTTGGAAATATGCATTGTGTGGTTTTGTGTGTACAACATTATCCTAATACTCATCATGACAATGCGATTTTGTAGATAAAGATTTTTAGCACAATGTAACTCGTACTATTGCATCTGATAAATGACAACAATGTGAGCCACGATACCGACTGTCAAGTTTTTAGAGTTCAAATTCAGATTCAAATCCCCAGATCCTAACGATAGGCAGACACCACTTTGAAATTAAAACCAGCAAGATTTTTATTTTGTGCAATAAAAGAAAGGAAGATCCCAGATTACCTGAATATGAAATCTTAGGTGCAACTGGTGGTAGCTCCAATGCTAGCACAAAGTCAAGTCTCTGTTAAGCCCCAAACTCTAGCCAAAGTCCTCACCTACACGTATGAGGACCACCACACTCTCCCAGCTCTGCGGTGTTGCCAAAATCCTTCCCTTTTTAATTAAATGTGGGATATGTTGCCTCTGGTTTGGGAAGGGCCGTGTTGTTTAAACAGTGTTCCTTGCACTTTTTTTTTTTTCCCTGCTCTAGCACTTCTCACAGGGAATACAAGTCAATGTCCCACAACAAAAATGTTTATTTTTCTTTACGCTAGAGCTCCTATCTGATGGGTTTGTGGCTTTGAACCACTCCTGGCATCTGATTGTATCTAAAGTTCTTCTGCAATACTGCAGCTATAAACCCAGACTAGAATAGGTGCAATCCTCGTAACTTGAGGTCAGTTTCAGATATTTAATTTAGATATGAAAGTGCAAGGAAATCTGTTTGCACTCATCCCTTAATTTTGGCTACAAGTGTGCTTGCATGTGGCAGACTGCTGTGTTTTCCATGAGGTTCCTATGGATGCAGCAGCATTATTTAACAAGGTGCAGCTCTGCTGAACGCTCAGCACGACGTATCAAAATCATAGCCTTCCTATAGCAGAAATTTGCCACACAAGGACTGGATCCATCTGAACGGTGGCCCTCTCCAGGTTACAAAACTGCCAGGTCCCACCCAGAGCACGTGTATGCGTGTGATCGATGTGATTTATTCGACTGTGATTTATTCAGATCTGGTTCTTGGCAGGTACAACAAAGTGCAAATTAATAGTATGATGGAAAAAGATGAAGACAAAGCCGACCCAGTCCTATTTTGTTTTCTTTCTCGTTACACACTTCTGTCTCGGCATCCCTCAGGGTTTTATGTTACAAAATGCCTCTGCTCCTCAGAGCTAGGTCAGCATCAGGAGTGGTGTCTAAGGAGAAGCCATAGACATCGCATATTGGCGAGCGTTTGTAACCTTAAGGGGGTAAGTTATGTAGGCCTTGGATATTAAGAAAAAAGAGAAAAGAAAACATGGATTGCAGCAGCTTGGCTCACATTTTATGCCTTGACTTTGACACTTGGAAAACTGAAAGGTTTACCATTGCGAAGAGGGGGTTTCTTCAGGACCCAAGGCTGGGTTCGCAGGTGGAAGCGTGGCAGTGAGAGCTGTGTTCCCGAGCACAGGCTGTCAAAATTTGTCCCGTGAGATCTGTGGTGGATTTTGCCTTGAATTTTGCTTAAGCCCTGTCCGAGAGCTTTTCATGCACTTCAAAAGCAGCTTCTCCTGCACCTTTCTAAGTTCTCCATGTTGCTCCCCTCCTGCTCACTCTGCAACCAGGAGAGATCTCCAGAGAAACCTACTTCATTTGCCCTCGAGTTTCCTTCATTTATTGTAGCGTGGTGTGCATGCTTGGAGGTTTGGCGCTCCTGACCGATTCGGTTGTTTTCCGTGATTCCCCACATTGCTCCACACGTGGGAAACGGCAGCACAGGAGGAGAGTATCAGTTACCTGAGAAAACCAAACTGGTTACCACGCTTCACCCTCTCTCACACCACAGATGCTAATAATAGTTAAGTAGCATGAAGAGTAGAAATAGTCCACGGCAATCTTACGGCTTTAGCTTTTTAGGACTCGGAGATTCAGAAGCACTTACAAGTAGATTTGCCCTCTTAAGCTGGTGAACATTCTGGGTCTCGGGCCAAAATGTAAACTAGCAGTACAGCAACACTCGCAAGAGCATTATATTCTTCGTACTGCCCATGGTGTTGCCATGGGTATCGTGCAGATTAGCTTATACAGGATCCGGGAAGGTAGAGAACAAGGGGAGAAAAACAGGATTAAGAAAGAAAAAAATGCAAAAGGGTCTTACTATTTTGAGAAAAACCTTTTAAAGTCTTTATCTGTAACAGGATTTTTTTCCCTTAATCCAAACTCTGCTAGCCTGGGGTTTGATTAATTTTTTTTTATTATTTATTTAAAGTCTCACACCTAGAATATGCAATTCCTCCTGACTATTTTTAAGTGGTTTGGGTGTTTTCAAACAATTTCCTTCCCCAGCAGGCTCAGACTGGAAGTTGGGAATTGGGGACTCCTCCTCCCCTACATGAAGACTTCAGATCTTGATTGTGAACCAAGATATTTTGAAACAAAGTTAAGGAAAGTCTTGATTTTTAAAGGCAGGAGTTACACATACCCTTGTAGGGGAACAGTCCACTAGATAAGACTTTGATCCGTATGACAACATCGAAGCACATACAGCAGCCCTTGGCAGCCAGTTAGACCTTCTCTAGTTGACAGTTCAGAGAAGACATTTCCTCCTTGCTAGTTAAAGCCAACACGCACTCATTCCTCCCAAAAACTCTTGGACATGTTGTTGTTGCTGGTTGTTAGCTAACTGGCCTCCTTTTCAAAGGGAAAAGTCAAGGGGGAAGGCTGTATAAGCATATGGTTTCCATTTGATTTGATCCATTACAGGAGAGGACACCCTTGTCCTTAGTGACACCTAGGGCAAACAGCTGGCAACCTGACTGGAACTTTCAGATTAAGTAAGCCTGGTATCATACCCTGATTCATTTTCACAGGACTTCTGGGGCAGTCAGATGAAGAAAACCCATCTCGTGAAGCTTTCATTGGCCAGTCATCAGAGGACGGAGAAGAATGTGACCCACCTGCTCCCAGTGCGGCCATTGGACCGCCAGCACAGCGCTGCTCCCGCGGGTGAGTGACACAGGAGAGGGTGCCCAGGTAGCTTGTGTGTCTGTGAGGGCAACGGAAATCCTGTATTTCTGTAACAGAAAATGAGAGGCAGGGAGGAACAATTAACTAGAACACTTCTGGAACACATTTGGTATTCTGAACTTACCTGAGAGCCTCTGTTGTCGTCTGCATCCTGACTGTAAATGCCATAAAGCATTAGGATACTAAGCAGGAACTAAGAAAAGCTTGGAAGCCGGGGGACACAAAGCAATCTCAAGAAACGGAGACAGTTTGCAAACATCTAACATGCACTGGCACAACCATTTTCAGATGGCACATTTCCCCATTGGGGAAAATACAGCCTTCCTTGATGAATGTACAGAGAGAGAAATACAACAATGGAAATGTAGAGAATTACCAATAACAGGTGGTGAACAGAACTTCAGAAAAACTAACACAAACTTTACATATTTCTGTAATCAAAGTCCCTGGTATGTTCTTTGGAGAGTGCCCTTCTTCCAGGAAGTTGCCTATTATAAGAGAAACAACAAGTCTGACTGGGACTTTTTTCAGTGCTTTTGTTGCTAGTGGACTAGCACACCACCTTGCAACACGTGGGGAATCAGAGTGAAACAGCTCTTCTGCAAAGAATAAAATAGTGTTTATTTCTCATATATTTCTTCATGCATTCTCGATGGAAAAGACACGATTATTAATTCCCAGTGAGTATATAGATGCACTTATTTTTGTTTTCTAGGCCTGCTGCATGTAGGAACACTTTTAGTTAATCTAGTGTAAGTACAATGTTGAATTATCACATTGACAAATCGTCCTAACCATTTGTATATAATTGTGCTGAACAGTGGTGTGGGCAAGAAACAGATTTCTTTCTCCTTCTGGAACTCTGTATATTACCTAGTTTTCTGTCTTTCCTCACATAAAGAGGTTGAGCTTTGACAGTATTAGCTGTAGCTAGATAATATCCATTATGCCAACTGCATACCACTAGTGAAATACTTAGTTTTTACATAGCCTGCGACTTTTAGGGTGCAGCACACTGTCTAAAGCTGTCAGAGATATCTAATGGGCCTGCTTTTAAAAATATAGTGCACGATTATTCTGCCTTATGTTTGAGGATGGAGGTAGCACTGTGTTGGTATGGCAAATAATAAATAAAGACAGTAAGATCATGCTGGAGACTGGATTGGCTTCCCAAGAGCTCCAACAAAAGGAGCTCTAGAGCAGAGGCTAATCCCAACATGCCTCTGATCCCAAGGTATAAACACATTATCCTCCTCCCGTCAGCTCACCTTTTCCCTCTCGGAGGGTGCTATGACTCACAGGTCTCTGGCAGTCCCACGTCTGCCTTCGTCTCTCTTGGGGGAGAGATTGCAGAGTTCAACTTTACTCCTACTCCCGGGCTGCCTGGCTTGACCACGTTTGCCTGTGCCTGCCCAGGTGGGTCACCAAAATTTGCGAAGCTTCGTGAGCGGCTCCTTCCTGTCGCCAGAGCTGCATAAACTGCTGGGATTTCCCAAGGGTTTGTTTGCCTCTTGCCGGGTTGGTGAGTATAAAGCAAGCTCCCCACCCACGCAGCCAGCTCCTCCGCCGACTGACACCCGCTGCCTGCAGTTGACCTCCCCCAGGAGAGGCTGGAGGTTTTGGTGGCCTCTGTGGGGGAAAACTTCTCACGGCTTCACTGGCTCAAAGCCTGCCAACATGGATTTGAGTTTTAAAGGCACTCCCTGTGACAACGCTGACTGTCTGGGAAGGTCACCTGCTGAGACGTAGGTGACTCTGACAACCTCTTCTCTGTGCTTAAAAAAAAGCCACAGGCAGTTACGAGCATGTAACTGTGGCTTGTGTTTTGCCTCCAGTTTCACAGTTTGTTTTCTATAATACATCTGCCGCCAAGCCTGCCTCAGACATCTTCGTGTGAAGAAATTTGTATAAATAGGAGTGTTCTTGATTCTGCAATGTTTCATCTCTCTGTCCAAGATACTTCAGCGTTGCTAGAGATTTGGCTGCCTATTCTGAGACATCCTCAGAGGACATAGTTTATAATGGGTAGGTGGCTATGATGCACTTGAGGAAATTTCTTTAAATTGATCCAACATGTGAACCCCAAATTAAATTGTATTTGCTTTCTGTTGCCTCAGTGAATTCATTCGAAAAACAGCGACAGTGCCTTACTAAAGTGCAGTCAAGTTTATGAGATCGCAGCTGTGTGGTACTTGCAGCTGAGTGTCTTAGCATTGCACAGCAACATTATTATTCTAACCGATTTCCCACATCAGAAATTCGTATCTGACATTTCTACTGTCCACTTCTTCCCGGCCTCCAACCCCTACCTGCAGTTTCAGAATCAATAATCAGGATACCTTCTCTCTCCTGTAAAGGCCCTTCGTCATTTATTAGCTTGGTCGTTTTCTGGTTTCGTTATTGACTTTCCCCGTTTTTCATGCTGTTTAACGCTAGTCTTTGGTGTTTATGTATTCTGCTCACCAGTGAGATAAATGTACACCCTGAATCATTTCTTATTTACTTCTGAATTCTTTCCCCTCAAGAAAAACAAAATAAGAAAATTCCATTTTTGTAATAGATTTACTGCTATTTTTCTCTGTTCCCCAACTCCATGCACAATACTGCTTCCTGCCTTGGCCAAGTCACGTCAGACGTGCTTTATATGTATTAGTGCAGGCAACTTGCTGATTTACCTCCTTAGCACCACTTAAGTCACTGAGGACTTGAGTTGTAGTCTGGGAGCGAAATTAGCCTTTGGCTTTGTGTGGTTCTTCCCTTGCCCGTTGGCTTCCTACAGTCAGTGCTGGTGGTGTAACTCAAGTCAGCTCAAACTTGGACTCCTGAGTGTCACTCCAAGTTTAACGCAAAGGAACGTGCCACCGCTCTCTTTCTGACCTTCTGGATGCTCCGCAGTGGCAATGGTTAATTTCTGTTGTTTTCTGGCACAAGTCCCCGCTGGGTTGCAGACCTGAGCCGAAGCAGCCTTAAAGTTGGATTTAACTGAACTGTTGAATCTGCTTTTTCGGTTCACCTCCAGAGCTCCCTTCCAACCTAAAGTCAGTTTGTTCCTTGCAGGTTAAGTGTCAGTGATCGGCATCATTAATCTTGCAATAAAACCCCACAGCCTCCTCTGTACAAGTCACCCAAAGCCAGCAGCGCTGCTCGTGCACTTGGCCTGCATGAATTCAAGTACTCCCAGGCTCTGCTGTCTTCTGTGTATCAGTGGTTCCCCTAATCTCTGTGAACACCACCACGGGACTTTGCAGCAAGAGTACTTGGTGTCTGCTCTTTTTTTATTTCCCAGAGTCTTTTGTTGTCTGCCCTGGTTTTACATCTTTGCACCAGCTAGTCACAGCAAAGCCATGAAATCTATTGACCTACATTACTGCATTTCCAACAACCCAGATACTGTCTCCATCTGTATCTCACCCAAGTTCCTGGAAGATCGTCTCTAGCGCATACCCAGCCTTTGTTCTTTCTTGTATTTCAGCTCTGACAGAACCTTTGTTTTGGAACAGCTGAGGCATATCTCCTGAATTACACCTAGGCAGAAGACTAGCAGAAGACATTTCTGTTTGACTTACTTATTAAACCTGGTTACTGATGCCCTTCAGGGAGCCTGACATATACATATGTGTAACAGAAGCCCAGTTTTCGGGCTGCATGATTAACAAATCGCTTCAATTAACTCTTCACATCATCATCTCCTTTGACAAGGAAAGCTGTAGCCTGAGACAGAGACAGGGAGAGAAAAGGGGCAGAAGAGACTGGAACGAACATAATCATTCTTGAAATAGTCTCAAGGGTTTATTTCTTTGAGAACTTATTCTAGGCAAAGTCTGACTTCTTGCCTTGACGGTTAGAAAGCAGAGAATCTAGCTGGAGACTAAAGAGAAAATTGGCTAAACTCCATGACATTTCACGAAAGTAGCAATAGTGTGGCTGTCAGCAGAGAACTGTAGTCAACTTTCTGAACCGTGCACACACACACAGAGTAAGCAATAGGCAATAAAAATTTCAGAACGACACTTCAGTTAGAGGCATTTTGTCTTGTGCATGATTTCTTTGAGTTGAACAGGATAGTTAAATACCACCAACAATGCACAGTCCCGTGAACACCTTTGCAAGACAAAGCTCTCATCTCTGGTTTGCTCTTGCCATTGGTCATCACCATTGTCTCCTTCCAAGTGTCAGATGTGTTACAGCCTATACAGTTCTTGTCCTCTCGTTATCCTTATTTTTTGCTCAACATAACTCCTTTGCTGCTTGTAAATGAGGGAAATATTTTCGGAAGGTATGGCCAGTATTGTTCAGAGGACCAAGGCAGCATACTGATCCTCTCGACTCCCTGTGGGACAGCTGATTTCTAGGTGAGTCAGCTAGGGAGTGCCTGTGACCGTCCCCGAGTTTGGCACCTGAGAGTCAGCACCGAGCTATGGCTGCGCTCACTTCTCTGCCATTGGCACCAGTAACTGCACTGGAGGGCTCCTCTCCATTACTCTGGGTTTCAATATCTTGCATTTGTTGGTAGTGTCAGATGTGTGTGAAGGTGGGTTCTTGGGGTTTGGGGGTTTTTTTTAGCTTATTATCAATCTGCCTTCTACCCATCCCCCAAACCAGAACTACTATTTTAATTAGGATATTTCTTATTTTAATACAAGTGATTAGGATAGAAGGCAAAAGTGTATATCAGCACAGTGATTTTTTTATCATAAAACTTTACTGTCACTTAGGTACTTAAAAATACACATATTTCTACTTCTCTACAAGGTTTTTGTTTCATCTCAGAAACATATTTTTATATTTTGAGTTGGCAGCATCACTGCTCAAACCTCAGGAAGCGTTAAGAGAAAACTGCATGACAGTCTTTCGTATCTGTACGCGTTGATTATTAAATCAGTGTAAAGAGAGAGAGAACTACAGTTATCCCACTGCATCCCCTTTTGTGTGTTACATAAAACCAGATTTCTTGCTCTTAGTACACTGTTTTGTGCAATTAAATAAAATAAGCATTCATCACCGTTACGACACTTCTCCCTGTTCTTCCACCCTCAATTATCTTTTTCCAAAAGTTCTCTTTAACCAGGAGGCAAACCTGATCTGAAAGTAGCAGAATATAGGCTGAGAAATACAGTCTTCCACTCGTCCAGGCGTAATCCTGCAAGCTGCTCTGTCTGTCCTAGCAATTTTCAGTTCTGCAGTAACTCCATTAAGAGGCGTGCTGCAGGGATGTGACCACGTGGCGTCGGAAATTCATTGTGGAAGTGGGATCCAGCAGCTCAGCGCTGCTAATCCTGCCCGGTTGCTGCAGCCTCTCTTCTCATTCTTTGCTCAGCCCCGGCGAAGGCAGCGGGAGCTTCACGTGCGCCGGGAACACGACAGCAGGCAAACACATGCGGCTCTGCCCAAAGTTGCGCTCTCGATTTCTACATCTGTAAAACTGAGATAATACATTACCGACTTCAAAAGGGTGCCGGGCAAATTAATCAGTCAGTGTGCATGCAGCACCCTGAAAACACAAAATTAACTCTCATTAGCCCGTAAGGACCCGAGACACATCGAGATGCACCCTGTGGCCTCTTGATTTCAGACAAAGGTCCTCTTGATTAAATTAGATTGCTAACGTATTAACGCGTTAGCACACTTGAAGAAAGAAAAGTTTGAAAAAGCAGTTTGGCTTCGTCACATGAGCAGCATGTATACTTAATGGAAATTTTTCCAGCATTCACAAAACAAAGAAAAATCAATAAAATGTCTGCCAACTGTTCCACTGAAAACATTTTATAATCTATAGTGCCGAGAATCCCGAGCCAAGATAAACCAGCGTTGCTGACAGAAAATACTGACAATTATTTTACATTGATTCAACTTGGCCCAGCCCAGACTGACCTTGTTTATTCATCTCAGTCTCTTAATTCATATTAACTTGGCATCAAAATCGGCCATGTGGCATGTGGGCTGAAGACCCATTTCTCTATCTTAGACCCAGATAAATGTAGCACGTTGAGTACTTCCAGTGCCTTGAGCTCTTAGGTAGATTTATATGCATTAGACAGAACTGGTTAAGTTCCTTTTATCCCCGCTGGGCTTTTCATGTCTGTTGACTGTAAAACTAGAAGCTCAGTAGAGGTAACATCTTCTTCTAAGCCTTTGGATATACATGAAATCCTCCCAGTACTGGTCAATTTTAAAGACACGTCCAAAGAGGATGGAGGGGTTTAAGCTCTTTTAAAACATAAAAATAGAAGGGTTATGGCAATTTGGCAGCCAAAAAAAGCAATTTGCAGGTCTCGGCAGAATCCGAGGCTGTGTGTAAGAAAGCTGATCAAGACACTATGGAGGAGATAATGGGGTCGAAGAGCAGAGGAATCCCTCTGTTTTTGCAACCGGCATAATCTGGTCTCCATTGAAGTTTCTTAGTTTCTTTTGCCGAACCAATAAAGCTTAGTGTGATGGGAGAGTTGCATTACTGCAGCTTAAAAATGTCTCAGGAAAGCTGATGAGGAGAGCTGCTTTTAGTTGCTTTACAGATGCCCAGCTGCTTGCATAGCTATTGCCCAACTGGTACTGTGAAGACAGAGGCACAGGAAAAATCTGAGCTTTTCCTTTAATTATTTGTGTTCTCGTCAGTAATAAAGGGCTTTTTATGCCTGGAATTTATTACTTGTGTTATCAAAGCCGAGCAAGATTTTGCACTGTGGCAGTTAACAAATTGAGTGCCGCACAAAAGCGTTCACGTTTTCCTTCTCTCAGCTACGCCGCTGTCATAGCTGAAAATCCCCCTTGAGTCAAACATGACCACATCCACAGAGGAGGAAAAGCCACCCAAATGAGGAGAGTCCCTCCAAGTTGGCCTGGCATGAGAGATTTATTCTATTTTCTCTGACTCCTTCTTGCCGAAGGCAATGCTCCCTCGGACTTCGCCGGGCAGCTGGGGATTTGCGGACGGCGGGATGAATGGCAAGTCGGCAAGCCAGGATAGCACAAGATGACCTACAAATTTCCAGTTCCACTGCACTGGGGATGGATTGCCCTTCCACATGATGACTGAAGAAACCAAGACTAGCAAAACCAAAAAAAAAAATTTAAAAACCCTCCATCTGCATTTTCCGTAACATGTAGCTGATGTTTTCCTCCCTGCAGCTCCTTCACGACTTGGATTTCAGTGATTGAAGTGGTGTGGGGACAGGTCTTAACTGCAAAAATTGCAGAAAAGCAGTGCTGCCTTTTGGGTCTGACATCCTCCACACCTGGCATCTGCCTGAGCACCTCCATGCAGGACTGCCACAGTGCTGGGAGCCTGCTCTGCGTGTTTCACATCCCCAGCCTCTCCTGCTTAACAAAACTTTAGTTGCTCCAGCTTTTTACACCAGTTTCGCACCGGTTCTTTGAATGACAGGATGGTGCTGGAGCAACTGCACTGCCAAATGAGCGATCCTGGTGGCGCTCAGTCAACAAACGTACTGGCATCTGATAAAAAGAGCTACAGTGTGTAGCCAGGGAATTACACAGGCTGCTGTGTGCTTGAAAAGATAGAAAACAAACAAAAGCTTTGCGAGGCTGTGCAGTGTCTCCCCAACTCTTCAGTCAGTCCTTACTCTCTCCCTTTCTGTCACTTCTGTTTTGTTCTCAAAGACCCACTGGCCGCAGACGCGCAGAGGACACTGAGCCCAAGCCTGGAGCAGAGGGAGCCTCCCCGACAGGAAAACCCTTTTCCAGCAGCCAGGAAGGTAAGTGAGCAGGTCTCTTTCAAATATGCACAAGGGCATGAAGCTAGAAGTAATGGTGATTGATATCACGAAAAAGAACTTGGATCTAGTAGAAAAATAAGGCAGTGGCATTGCAGCGTGAGCTTGGTTTGCGCGTACCTAGCGGGCAGAGGCACGAGGTCTCGGCTTACTGCCTCTCACAATGTGGAATAAATCAACTGATCGTACAAATCTCCTTATCTTGCCGCACTGGTCACAATTTAACAAAGACAGGCAAAGCAGTCGTTACTTTCAGCCGTCGTTGCTCTGTTATTTGATGTGCGGTGGCCAGTAGCAGAGCCTCACCAGGTAGGTGGCTTGTGAAGCAGCCTTTTACACTCCTTCTGCAGGGGATTCTGCAGCAAAGAGACGTGTCTCTCTTGCTTTGACAGTGTTTGGTATCTCCATCATAGCAGAGTAGTAGTTCTTCAACAGTATAATAGAGTAGCCCAGCATGAGAAAAATTCATGGTTAAAGCATTGTCCTCTAAAGTCGGCCAGGCAGGGATATGTAAGAGTGTTTGCACAAGGGGTGAGACAAGGAGTTTTATCTTCTGCCTAGTCCGGATGTCCCATTGCTGTACTGACATGTGTGTAGGAACGGAGCCAGTCTCTAGGCCCACTGACACGGAAAGTAGAGGCGTAACGGCGGGTGCTACAGCCCCAAA